GAGTTCACTGACTCTGATCATATGTAGACAAGGTCATAGTCAAAGTGGAAGTTCTCTCCTCCCTTCAGAGAAAGGTACCTCCTTCTTTGATGACCTGTTCTTTCCACTGGGATCTCACTCGCGGAGATCTTTCATGTAGGTGTTTTTTTTTTTTTTTTTTTCCCCAGAGTGTTTTGGCTTTCCATGCCTGTAATGCATTGAGTTATTTTCTTCCAGTTTTGAAGATGAGGTAGTGCCACTTGGATTTTAGTGACTGCATTATTGTCAGATAATTTAGATCCAGATGAAGGAAAAAGGGAAAACTTTAGACAGGATTCATTTATTTAAAGATTTATTTATTTATTTGAAAGGAAGAATTATAGAGAGGCAGAGGCAGAGAGAGAGTAAGTTCTTCCATCCACGGGTTCACTCTCAAAATGGCTGCAATGGCCAGAGCTGGGCCAGTCTGAAGCCAGGAGCCAGGAGCTTCTTCTGGGTCTCCCACATGGGTGCAGAGGCCCAAGGATTTGGGCCATCTTCCACTGCTTTCCCAGGCTGTAGCAGAGAGCTGGATCAGAAGAGGAGCAGCCAGGCCTCAAACCAGCGCCCATAAGGGATGCTGGCACTGTAGGTGGTGGCTTTACCTGCTGTGTCACAGTGCGAGCCCTGACAAACTTCATCTATAGACATTTCTATTTAGATATCTTTGTCTCCTAGAGGTAGGAAGAAAACTTAATTTAGAGACACAACATAATGAGATTATTGCTAGATTAGTTTGAAGAATTTGCCTTTCAAGCTACAGTTAGTTAGGGAAATGGTCCTTTTTAAAATGTGGAATGATCATATTATAGGCTGCTGTGTTTGAGTAAGATACTTGCCTATCAGGAGTGAGTGGCAGTGAGTGCTGTGGTTAGCTACATCCCATTCATCGTTATCTTTTGCTTCTCAGCGACTGTGCGGTAGCCTGCCTTTTCCTCAAGCCCCTGCTGCTACAAGGCTTTTAGTATTTGGTGGAGTCTTTTGGTAGGTCCTATCCTCTTTCCCTCCATGCACCCTTTCCTTCACGCAAGGTGGATCCTGGATTCTCTAAACCCTCCCGCAAGGCAATCTTTTCTTTACTGTATCTTATATTGTATTCTCCATCTAGATGGCACCATTCTCAGTTTCAATCAATGTAAACTTTAATTTCCTTTAATGCAACAAAGATCAACATAAGGTAGAAATGATTTGGATTTGACAGGTGTAATTTACTCTTCCATACCTGTTTGCCCTAGTGATTAGTGCAGAAGGTCAAAAAGGAGAATGGTAAAAGATAAAACTTGAATCCTGAGTACACCTTGTACCTAGTTAGATTAGTGGAGTCAAGAGAGATGTAGTGACAGAAGTCAGGTTGCCAGGAGTGACAGCTGCTCCTGAAAGAGAATTCGGTTTGCCTGAGGAAAGAAAGCAGCTTGGACCAATCACAGCACCAGGATCCTAGAGGAGGCTGGAGCAATGGGGCACTGTGTGGGCAATAGTGCTAAACTGGTCCCTGAACAGTAGGATCTGGTGGCACACAGGAAGCTCAGGAAATAGAAGGGCTAATGGTATGAGCTGGAAGGGCCAGCTCACTAAGTGACACCTTATGACAGGCACCAAACAACCCACAAGTAACAAGAGAAACACAAGCTCTCCCCCTCTCCGTTCTTAAAATTTGATGCGCCTCCATGGAAACTGGTAGAAACCATTCCACCATCACTGAAGTCCAAGCGCTTCTGCCCACCTTCGGTTGAGGAGCATTTCACATTTTCCCATGTGCTCCATCCCTTCTTTCTTTGAAATAATCCGTCCTTCCCAGGGAGGCTGACTGATGAAGAAAAGTTGTCCGTGGCTTATACTGCAAACCCTGGGGAGAAGAGGTAAGATTGCTGGTGGCTGGGTAGTTAGTTTCTCAAACAGGAGAAGTCCCAGTTTGGTGTGGCTGCAGTGGAACTCCAACTCACTCCTCCTGCCATTTCACTGTCCCACAGCAGGTGTTTCTCACTAGGTAAGGTGGGAATC